AATTATTTGGTAAAAGATCATAAAGTAAGATTATTAATTATAATTCTATTAGTGCAATATATAAATTAGAGATCCTACTTAATCTTCCTCCCCAGAGAGGGCTACCCAAGTATACCTAGCCACATATGAATAATGTATTTCAGGAAACTTAAAATGTACCACTATAGCTGAACGTGGATGGAGGTGTCTGCCTGTAATCCCAGGATTCTGGAAGACTGAGACAGGAGTCTTGCAGTTGAGGAGACTCAACTGCAAGTTCAGTCAGCCTGGCCAGCTTAGTGACTTAGCAAGACCTTGTCTTAAAAAAAAAATCTGGGTATGTAGCTGAGTTTAAAGACCCTGGGTTTGGTGCCTAATATTTTTTTTCGTTTTTGTGGTACTGGGGATTGAACTCAGGACCCTGTGCTTGCCAAGCAAGCACTTATTCTACTGAGCTATCTCCCCGGGCCCTAAAGGATTTTTTTTTTTTTGGTGGCTCAGGCTGCCTGAAGGGCAGGTCTGGTAAGGCAGGTGGAGCTGAGGATCCAACCACAGTATCCTGCTCCTGACTGTGTTTGCATGAGCAGGCACTTAAACAGCTGAACTAAGGGCAGGCCCCAACCCCAATATTTTTTTAAAAAGTACAATTATATACCATGAAGAGAGAAAGAAAAAAAAACAAGGAAAACTAAGTTAAAAAGTTTTTTATATTGGCAAAAGGATAAGTACATGGATCACATCTGTAACCATAAGTGTATCCAAATACGAAGGTAAGAAAAAGCACCAACTCACCCTTCTCCTGAGTCCAGCTACCAAGATCTATCTTGGTGAAGCTGAAGTATGGATTTTCTAGGGTTGAGAAAGTAGTAGAATTTATACTAATTTTTTTTCTTTCAGAAAAACAGCTCTGAGGAGAACCAATCACCTCCTACAGTATCAAAAGCCATGGCCACAGTGAGTTGATGCTTTTTCTTACCTTCACAACTTTTGGTTCCTTAAGTTATGGAAACTCAACTTCAAAATGTTGAAGTGAGGGAGTGGGTCTGTTTTAAGATGGATGATGAGAGAATATATTTTTCCTACTGATTTAAATCTACCATTATCATAGATGTTGTGTATTTGGATCCACTTATGGTTACAGATGTGATCCATGTACTTATCCTTTTGCCAATATAACACTCTGCATTTAGTATAATTTTAAAACTAGGTTTTGATTATTAATAAGACTTCTCATTACCCATGTTTTTCAAAAGCTTTCTGACACTTCAGTACTCTTCCATATGAACTTAGAATGGTTTAAAAATATACCAGTATTTTTCTTGAGCCTCCATAAAAAGAACAGATTAAGGGGGGCATAGCTCAGAGGTAAAGTGCCTGCTTAGCATGGGCAAAGCCCTGGGTTCAATCTCTAGCACTAAAAGAAGAAAAGCAGAAAAAGGAAGGAAGGAAGGATGGAAGGACAGAAGCAAGGAAGGAAGGGGCAAATGAGCAGATTAACTTAAGGAGCTCTTACATCTTTGTGGTGTTCAGTCTTGCTTTTACCAGTTTATTATAAAGTATATCACAAAGATTTTTTTAATAGCTCATAAAACAAAAAAGGAGAAATGGCAGGGAAATACACATGAATACACCTAGATAAATGGTACAAAAAGCTTTACTTACATTAAACTTTTTAAATCAACTGCCAGACAGATCTGCTACAGACCATCATTGGAGCAAGGAAGTGAGCATTCCTTTGCAACAGGCTGTTTTCTTTTGAAATGACACTAATTGATGGGATCCAGGAGTTATCCAGAGATAGGGAAGAGGTTCTGCTTATGTCATTACAGATACTGGAGATATCATTTGGGTGCTGGCTTGACAAATAAAACCTAAAAAATGAACAAGTGTAAATATTCGGATATAGATGCTCCAATTGATGAAATAAAAAGATTAATGTTGAATAGGACAGCACTGAGATGGCTACTTCCTGAAACCCAGCAAGCCCCATTACCTACATGGGGACAAATAAAAAAACTCACACAGGAAGGTAAGAGGATGCTTTAAAACAACATGTCAGGAGAAAAAATAGTACCAACTTGTTTCTTGTTATGCTGGCTTTGTTGTTGCTTCCAGTAAGTGTTAAAGGTAATTTTAGTTATTGGGCTTACATTCCAAATCTACCACTCAATAGAGGAGTTCACTGGTGGGATGCTACTATACCCATATATGTAAATGGAAGTCCCTGGTAACTTGGCCCCTATGATGCCTGGGGACCAACAGTGCTAGCATAAAAAGAAACCAGAATTCCATTCTACAAGATCGGAGTAGAAGGCTGGCCGATTTGTATTGGGAATGGACTTCATTGCTTAAAAACAAACACATGAGTCTGGTTATCTATAGTAAAAAAAAAAAAATGCCACCAGGGACAAGTGAGACAAAAGGGGACTTTTTTTTTCTTCTACAGAAAAAAAAATTAAAGGTGTAGCTGATGATGGAATGTTTGCACCATCAGATCTGCCCCCCTGCCAGAGTATCAATGTCACTCATCTCAATGATCAGGTGCATTGGGAAGTCTGTGGAGGAGAAGCAGCCCGGGTATTGGTTATTACTTCCAATGGAAGTGTCATAGATTGGAGCCCTTATAGCTCAGCCCAGATGGCAGAAGGAAAGCAGTGAAGAGGGAAATGGAGTGGCAGTGATGAGATTTATACTAACACTAAAAATGTCAATGATACAATAATGTGGCATGGAGAAGGAATGTCCCCTCATGTTCCTCATGTCCCTGTGGGACCAATGCAACATCATCTTTGAAAACTAGCTACCTCTTTGGAACGTATGTCCACATGGAAAGGTTATATATGAAGAAATCTATCCTCCTATTCGACATTTAAAATGTAACAGGAACACGCATTTTGCACAGGCATGTGTGCACCTCCCCTACTTGTTGCTTGTAGGACCTAATTATTGAAACTCTTCTAACTATACCATTACATGTCCCAATTGTTCTTTATATACATATCTAAATTCTTCTCTTAGCCTTAATTTTTCTAGGGATAACATTTTTATTCTTTTTTCTTTTTTTTTTTTTTCACAAAACTGGGAATTGAACTCAGGTTCAGGTTTGCCAGCCAAACGCTTATTCTACTGAGCTATCTCCCTGGCCTCTATATTCTTTAAGACAGGAACTGGAATTTGGCTTCCTGTACAACTATGACGCCCTTGGCAAGACTATCCTGCCATGACACTGTTTTAACACTTGCTGGATGCACTAAAGAAGAGAACAAAAAGAATCACTGAACTTTCGATAGCCATAATTTTAGAAACAATAGCTGTCACTGAAGCCACAGGTGTACAGCTGGAGTGATATTGAGCCAAGGTGTACAAACTGTTCACTTTGTGCAGCAGCAGCACAAGGACTCAGAACAGTGATTTTCTTCACAAAGACAAATAGATTCAGAGTTAAATACTAAGAAAAATGATTTAGAACAAGCTGTTGTTATGCTAGGAGATCAAATTGTTAATCTGCAGTGTCAACTTCATTTAAAATGTGATTGGAATACCTCCTCATTCTGTGCAACTCCAATTCCATGGAATGAAACTCATTCCCCATGGGAAAATGTTTTTTA